GACGAGGGACATGGCTGGGGGCATGACGAGGGACATGGCTGGGGGCAAGACGAGGGACATGGCTGGGGACATGACGAGAGCGTGGCGAGCTTCCCTGGCTCGACCACGGGCACGGCGTGAAGACGAGAGCGTGGGCATGGCGAGCCTCCCTGGCTCGACCACGGGCACGGCCGGGGGACGAGAGCGTGGGCGTGGCGAGCCTCCCTGGCTCGACCACGGGCACGGAGGGATGACGAGAGCGTGGGCGTGGTGAGCTTCCCAGGCTCACTCACGGTCAGAGGGCGTGGAGAGGTGAGCGAGCCCTCCTGGCTCGCTCACCGCCATGGCCGGAGGGTGTTGCGGGGCGTGAGCGAGCTCGGGGCTCGCTCACGGGCAGGAGGACGGACCGGTGAGCCGGCCTCGGCTGCCTCCTGGGCATGGTGGCTAAGCCCCCCCATGGGCTCTCTCCGAGCAGGAGGGGGGGGGGCCGCCACCGTCGCCGCCGCTCCTCCGAGGAGTCTCCGCTGAGTCCATTCTGGCGAGTGCGTTCTGTCAGGAAGGTGGGTGTTGACGGAAGGACTCAGGTGCGGAGATGAGGGAAAACAAGGTTTATTGCAAAAAAGGAAGTCCAGACCAAATACACAAACACGGCTGTGGCAAACTATGAGCAAAGGCAAAGTAACAAAGTAAAGAATAACAAGACTGAGGCAAAATCTACGGCTGTGACAAAGTAACAAAATAACGATTAACAAAACTGTGGCAAAACTGTGGCTATGACAAAAACAAACCTGGCGTGGGGGTGACGAAGGACAGACGGACAAGAACGCACTCGCACAAGACAAGGGAAACGAGGACTATTTAAACACAAGAGGGAGGGGAACCCCAGGTGTACACAATAGGTAATCAAGACATGACGAGACACCAGACGTGACAGTAACAGTTGACCAACACAATGGGATTAAACTCCACATGTTTGTCCGTTATTTAGATGTCGATATAAAAGATGAATTTTTGTATTTCGATATTATTTTTACAATGTTTAATTTTGTGGGTTCTAATTGTATTTAAAGGCTCTGTTACCAGTTGGGTGATTCACATTATCTAAAATTCCTCTTTTTACACAAACTGTGTCCTCTTTTTTCTGGCTCTCCTCAGATTGTTTGAGACCCTCCAGTCTCTCTTCTGGTCCATATTCGGGCTGATAAACCTGTACGTCACCAACGTTAAGGCTCGTCACGAGTTCACCGAGTTCATCGGGGCGACCATGTTCGGGACGTACAACGTCATCTCGCTGGTGGTGCTGCTCAACATGCTGATCGCCATGATGAACAACTCATACCAACTCATCGCCGTGAGTTCAAGTCACAAGTCGTTTCTCCCTCAACAGCAGGTTTTTGTCACAAAGTTTTTAGTTTGGACAAAATAGAATCTCATCTGCTGTTCATAACAACTGTCAACAAAAACGTTAACCTGATACTCTGAAACCTAGCAGCAGTTGCATGGTCTTGTAAATCCAGAGTGTCCCTCTCGCCCTCCAGGACCACGCGGACATCGAGTGGAAGTTTGCCCGCACCAAGCTGTGGATGAGTTACTTTGACGAGGGCGGCACGCTGCCACCTCCGTTCAACATCATCCCCAGCCCCAAGTCCATCTGGTACCTGCTCATGTGGCTCCACAACAAGCTGTGCAGGAGAGGCCAGCCGCCCGGGGAGGTGTCGCACAAGTGCGAAAACCTCAGAGAGTTCACAGTAAGTGAAGTCAAGACAGCGTGCCACTGCCAGGACCCAAATGTACTCTACATGGTTTTATATGCTGATTAGTTTGATGTGAAACATTGGATGATGAGAAAAGACTCAAATCTGACAGATGTGAGTTTGTCTTAACAACATATGAGAGGAAAATATGACGAGGAAACATGATAACATGAATCCTTTTATTTGTAAAAAGGCAATTTACATATACAGAGAAATAGCAGTCAAACAAAAATTCAACTTATTATAAAACTTAAACTGACCAGTTAATGAAAGTTTCTTAGTGAAACAGTAAAAATGTGTTTTTTACAAGAATGCTGCCTAAATTAAATCAACAGCTCAGGGCTTGTGTTGCCATCCTGCAACTTAACACCACTGATTGGACAAATGTGGGTAGTTGTTCCAGGTTAGCTGTTTTCTATTGGAAAGAATTTAATTTCTCAAAAGGCAAAATACAAGCATGAAACTCTGTGAAGGAAAAGTGACTAAAGGGGCATCGTCAAATTGCTAGTTTTGTCTCAACGCAGACCGTAAATTTAAAGATAAAAAAGAGTAGAGGAAAAAAGCAAGAATGAAAGAAAATCTTCCAATCAGACAATGATTTGAATAAATATTACTATTCTATGTCCGTAATGATAAATGATTTGTGTTTCTCTGATTTTTATTCGATGAACTGCTGTTGTCTCTCATCATTTTATTTACAAAGATTTTAATTATTTGTATTATTGAATACAAAGTTATATGGGTAGGATTTTACTGACAACACATCTGTCAGAAAATAATTGTGGTAGCAGGCTATGCCTGCAAGGCAGCAAGCAGGGGAGATCAACAAAGACATGAGACAGATGGAGTTCACTGGTTGGAAACAAACACATTAATGCATACAAAAATGAACCCCCTCAATGTGCCAGAGGGTACAAATCACTGGGCTACATATTGACCCAAGTTTCACACAAATAGGTAGGAGCTGGAATGAAAAGGAGATCATCTTTAATTTACATCCATTTATTCAGACAGAAAAGCAGCAAACATCAACACGGATATTTGCTCTTCTGATTGTAAGTTCTACACTTTCAGTTTTTGGCTGCTTTTCCATTCCAAAATGGTCGAGAGAGGACCTGTGGGAGCTGACTGACAAGTTTGCCAATAATAAAATTACGCAAAGCCAGATAACATCGATTCCATCTGCTTTGGGGGCTCTTTCCCGCCGGCCAGCCGATCGCATCGCAGTGGCTGAACCCGTTCCCAGGGAGACCGGGATTAAGAGTAAAAAAGATAGAGCAGATATGAAAACATATAAGCCATTTCACCAAGTAACAAACGGGCAAACACGTGGACGGACATCAGCTGTTGAGTTAAGTAAGCGGGGTACATCGGCACATAAACACGTCCCGATAAACACGGTCCAGTCATCTGAAGACAGACCAGGAGCCAGCAACGCAGAATGATAAGGCTTTTTTCACGCCCTTTTTTTCTCTCTCTCTCTTTCTCACACACACACACACACACACAGAGTGCAGCTGGCATGTTCACCTCAGCTGAAGTCGGTTGAGTTATATAAGCCAACCAGCCCACATAGGTTCACGGAGCCACACAGCTCTTCAGAGATCTGATCAAGGCAGAGAGCCAGCTTGTGTGTATTTACATGTTTGGATGCGTCTTTGTGTGTGTTTTGCGAGTGTGTGCGATTAAAGAAGAAAAACGGCATGATATATTCAAAACCATGATTTCTCCCGAGACAGAGCGAGAGAGAGAGAAAGAGAGAGTTGTAGAGGACGATGTGGGAAGGATGATTGCAGGTTTGTGTGTGTGTTGACAGAAATGTGTTGGTATTGTATTAGCTGGCTGCAGCAAGAGGACGGATGAGTGGGAAACATGAGGTGAAAGACTGAATATTGAGCTGAGGCGGAAATAAAATGAAACTGCGGAGAGAGAGAGAGAGAGAGAGAGAGAGAGAAACGGGAAGAGAGGTGAAGATGATGGATGTTTGTGTGACAGATAATGCAGTTTCCCCTCATTCACCGGCTCCGTTCCTCGAGTAAGAATTATTGATTTCAAACTCTGAACGTTGACTTAAAAACATAACGACCTTAAGCTTGGCTTACAACACTTCAAGACCTGGGAGTTTTCTGGGAAAATTCTGCTCGTTTTCTTCTCTGCTCTGACACATAAAACAAATAAAAACTTTATTTTTTTATGTCCCATCTTGAATTTGTTGAAGCAAAGCTGAGGTAACACCAGGTTGGAAAGGTAAAAAATAAAAAAGCCGACGTCTTCTTCAAAATTGGACTCATAGGTCATTCAGAGGGTCGGAGTAGTAGAAGAAAAACATTCTGCAATATCTAATCTGCAATTGGTCCATAAGAAAGAGAGATTATTCTCAGGATTCGAACCAGCAACTTTATTGCTGTAAACTGACGGTGCTGTATTTCAATCCCAATCATAGAAATTTGTAAAGGTGATGCAGAAAAAAATGCAATTGAACAACAAAGATGAGCCAGACAATATTTGGTCGCCGCTGCTATTCTTAGCTCTCGTGCAACAGCACCTGAACACAACGCTGACCAGCAGAAAGATTTGGACAAATGAGGTCTGCTGATGGAACAATGCTCATGTATTAGATTAAACGCTAACCGAAGTGCCCTCTGGCGAGGCCAATCTCCAATCAAAGGTTACAAATGGAATATTTCCTCTTTCTGATCCTGACGGAGCATTTGATCTCTCACAGCTTTTACACATAATTTTCTTTAGCTCATGTTCCTGCCTTTAGCTCTATATGACATATCTTACATTCATAGACATAAATACTATTTTTACCTATCCTAAAAATGTCCGTGTCAGGATCGACTGCATAACAGGTTACTTTGCATGCCATTTTATTAAAAGAGATACATATTAAGCTATTTTTTAATGCTGGGAAGTGGATTTTCACTGTTAGTTTCTCATTGGGTTGGAAAAATGTGCTACATACAGTTTCAGAATGAAAACAGGCACTCTTCTGCTTTGTTCAGCTTCCCAAAATATGACCCATTTTAGTAATGAGGAGTGACTCTTAACTGCAGAAACTTTTCTGACCGCTATTCATTGTCATTCTAGATCAGAGCATCTGCTAAAGAATAGACACACAGATGAAAGGTGTGACAAAATGCTAATAATTCATTTTGAGAAGTGAAAAATGATTAACTGAAGTCCATTACTCAGCATCTCTGTAAGATGGAGGACCTGGGCCGCAAAAGTGTCGTTCTCTCAGCCAAAAGCAATCTGTTACCCACAGGCCTCTGTTTTAGCTGGATGCTGTAAGAGCCGGCCGTGGACATATTTAATTTTGCAGTGACCCCTGTGCGAAATATCAGCCCGGCTGAGAAGAGTAACGAGCACAGACAGGAGAGGGGGAAAAGACGACAGAGGATTTTAGGAAATGAATCAAAATGGAAGCAGAAATATAAAGTGACATAATGAAAAATGTGGAAATGGTGTGCATTTAACATAATCACTTCTTCTTCTTTCAGGAGCGTCATGCGGACAGCCTCATACAGAATCAGCACTATCAGGTCAGTGTCTGCTCAATTTCAATGTCCAGCCTCATAAAGCTTCTTTCTTTTTTTTAAAGCTACGGCAAGTCTGACTTTAACACATCCACTTACGTAAATTATGATGACTAGTAAGTCATTTTATCTCGCCAAAACTTCATTGACTGCTTAGAATCAACAATCTCCCTTCAGAGATAAGAAATGGCATTATCTTAATCAATCGCTCCATCTTCTGTCACTACCACAATCTAACTAGGTTTAGTCATTGGAAGAGCTAAAGTAACCCCAAATATGACTAAATGTTACTTTTTAAAATGAGCTTTCTCAAAAGAAGACTTTATGGTCTTCGTGAGACACTTTTAGTGCTCATGACCTCAACAGGGTGCATTTAAAAAGGCTAATGCAATCTTTCATGTTGTTTGTCTCTTGTTTAATGCATTTTTTATAAGCAAATTACATTTATTTTTCCGGTATTTTTCATACGCAAAATGCCACCTCTTGCCACCTCAATATTTTTTGCTGAGGAGGCTTTTGAATGAAAATGACCCCTGAAAAAGCAGCCATGACAAGAACTTCTGTAAATGCTAAGAAAAGCTTCAATAGTACCAGAACTGCCAAAAGAACCGCAAGCCAGCGTTTTTTTTTTTACCAGCTTAATGATAGCAACTGTAATATGAGAATAATTATCAGGTATGACAATCATGAATCCATGTGCTTTAGTATTTTTAGAGGCTTTTCAAAGTCCTCAGCTCTTGCGTGGGTTATAAAACAAGACAGTGCATTGTTTTGACTGCTTTAACTGTCACCTTCATGTCTAGCTTTCAGCGAATTTCATAACAGTTTGTTCAACCAATCAACGGAGACCGAGCTTTTATGTGTTGACACCTTAACACTGGCAGTGACTACAGGCGCAGTAATGCCAGTACTTTGTATTTGGCAGTGTCAATTGTTTCTCTGATATCCATCCACATTTCTTAAGGATTGTTGTGGGAATCTGTCCCTCACATTAACAGAGTGTGTGGTGTGTTTTGGCAGAGGTGCTGAGTGACAGCATGCCAGAGCGTCCTGTTTGGCAGTCACAGGTGTTAACTGTGGGCGGATGCTGTGCGCTAGTGTGTGTGTGTGTGTGTGTGTGTGTGTACCGTACCAGTGTATCAGGGATGAAATTACTGCCCACCGAGCACCAAATGCTTGTGAAACTTGGATTTGGCCTGAAAAATCAATGAAAGTGACCTGCCTCATTGCTGATTACTTAACGCTACAACATCTGAAGAACGGCGCGGCACATTGTTGATTTCTTTCACAACACTTCGAACCATTAAATAGCTTCGGAAAAAAAGTTCCTCACAGGTATTTTGTTATTTATTCAAGTAGATGTATAAAGATATATAAATAAAAAGCAAGTTGGGCAAGAAATGCATAGCTGGAGGAGCATGTTGCATTTAATTATGTTTATTGGCAACAGATCAGTAAAATGATTTGGTACCATTAAAAAAAGAGCGCAGTTAAAGAGACTCTTAGATCTTCAGGCCCCCAAGCGAGCACTTTTCATTCAAACCAGACAAGATTTGGTCATGGAAATTCCCTCTCAGGCTCAGGAATATACCCACAAATGAACACAGTTCTTCATGCCATCCACAAGCTCTATCATAGAAGAATATGAACCCAGAAACACTGCTGCCTTCTGAGGCTCAAAGCTGCGTTTCAAAAGGGTTGAGGCAGAGTGGAAAACTGCTCTGTGGTGGACATCAGTATCGAATTAGCAGGTGCATACGATATGAATAATTATCATGCAAAACATCAGTGGAATTGTTGAATACAAGTGTGGCAATGATATGAAATATGATAAAGAAGATAAGATAAACTTCACTCCTATATATTGCAGTGTCATTCAAGTTCGTAATTATTGACAATAGAAAGCAAAGACTAACTCCTAGAGGATTGAAATAAAAAAAGAGAGAAGCAGAAGTGGTTCAAGCCAATTATTGTAACCATGGCAACTGTCTTCAACAGGAAGTGATCCGTAACTTGGTGAAGAGATACGTGGCTGCAATGATACGCAGTGCCAAAACGGATGAAGGACTCACAGAGGAAAACTTTAAGGTGGGTAACCAGAATCGGCCGCTGTTTTCATGATCCTGATGAATAATCAGACAAGAAAGAGAAAGCACCCACCTCAAACAGCATGAACACCAAATTACATGTGTAAGCCTTCCAGTATCTGGACGGTCTGTAGATCTGCGCAAACATCAGGCGTGCGCAGACGGTGTATTTATGTTGCCCCTGCGGTAAACGGCAAGGGTTTTATTGATACCGCAGGTGAAACGGCTTTTTAACCCGCAAAGATTTATTAGAGCACTTTTTATAGCAACCACCCGCCCACTATCAGGCCCGTCTCTAAGCTTTTCTCCCTACCAAAATCTACTGCTCTGATCAGCAACAGCTTCTCTGTCGGTAATCCTTGAGGAGGGGATATTTCTTTTTTTTCCAAGTGTTCCGAGCCATGAATTATTTTGAGCTGTTATACCTCCTGAGCCAGCTTCCCTCAATGCCAAAGGAGCTCAGCCTGAGATTTGAAGTGGAAAGTTCCTTTAGGCTTTTCAAAGCAAAAACACTATTGGGTTCACATCGAAGTGAATCACTCTCCACTCCTGGAGTATGTTAACCTATGCTTGTGTGCATTTATGTAAGGAGTTATAAACACGTCTAAGTACAGAAAATGTGAGTCCGAAGGTGTTTGTTGCAGTAAATCTGTGTTTCATTCACTGTGGATTAAAGACGCTTGAAGCATTTGGATTGGAGTGGTGGGAAAAAAAGCTGAACTAACTGGCACCTGAGTCATGGGGTTCATATCCTTTATCTGTCTGTGTGCGTCTTATGTTGGAAAGAGAAATGCCGTAAGCAGAGGCACAAATGGAGAAAGGGGAAACGCAGGCACTTTGAATGTTTATTTTTCACAAAAGGGAAGGGGCTAAATTGAAGCTGCATGGGATGTGAAAGGACACAAAAATCAGTGTTGATGCACCCAGATGGCTTCAGTGCACAGCAACTAATTAGAGCACCTTTCACACGTACACTGCTTTCCATTAATCTGGTGACATCCAAATGTGTCTGTGTTATGCTTGAATGGTTATTTGCTCTAACACTGTGTGATGGCAGCAGTCACTAACTGACTGTTTATTTGCCGTACGATCAATGCGTTCAGAACAATCTGAATGTTTGTGGCATTAAAGGAATGCAAACCTCCCTCCTGTGTGGTTTAATCACCTGCAAATGTATTACTGACATCCGAACCAAATGGGCAAAAGAACAGGCTTCTTCTCTCTGACCAGATACCACTATTTTCAACTGTTCCTGTCCACTGTGTTGACTTATTAGTTTGACATGCATTTCTATAACAAAACAACATACGTGGAAACTGTATCTATAGTAACAGAGGGTTCTTGTTGACTAGATAGATCTTCTAGATCTTCAGTAGGATAATTAAACCAACAAGTTTGCACTGACATCAAGTTTGCGCATTGCCTGTGTGCCCGCCATCTTGGTATGAATTATTTAGTGTAATGTGCTCTATAAGGGCTATTATATGACACCTCAGTTTATCTGCTATCCAGTCTTTCATAAATACCAAATGTTATGTGTTCAATGAGTAGGCTCTCAGTCACTTAATGAATGTTTGAATGTTTAACATTAACACATTAACACAACTGCTGTTAAGGACTTAGTTCCATGACTCTGAGGGCTTAAATGAGTGTGAAAAAGAGAATGGTGCTCATAATTTTCAGTCATTTTCATATTTTTTTAAAAAACAAGCCAGCACAATATGAAAGTAATGGATCAATGTTGTGTCGAAGTTAGCCTCATCTTCCATGACTCGTAACATCTTCCGACTATTTTTGCTGACATCTTTCATCCACCATGCATTCAATCTCGCATTCAATCTCTCTGATGAGTCGTTAACCTCCTATTTCAGCCTCCGCTGCATCGCTCCTGATTCTGAGGCCTCCCTGTTTAATAAGAGCAGGCTTGATTGGCACGCCCAACGCTCTCTTGAGCTGCATCAGACTCACAGTGTCTCTCTGACTTTCCGCAGGAACTAAAACAAGACATCTCCAGTTTCCGCTACGAGGTCCTGGACCTCCTCGGCAACCGGCGTCCTCCCCGGCGACACTACTCCTCCTCCAGCGAGACGATGAAAGACGAGGGCGGCGTGGCGTCGGAGGACGACAGCGAATCCGGCGACAGCGGCGGCGGAGGAGGGGCCAGGGTCTCGAAATCGAAGAGCGTTACCTTCACCAACCCAGTGGAAGACGACGGGAGGTCTGCGCAAACGCTTGGAGTCTCTGCGTTGGTGCGGTCCATTTCTGGAATGACGCAGGCAGACAGAGCGGATGAGGGGGACGGATGGGGGGAGGAGGAGGAGGACGAGGAGGGGAAACCAAAGAGCAATGGGCTGAGGACAACCGTCATCCCTCCATCCTCCACCCCCGCCCTACCATCTCCGTCCTCGTCCTTTTCCTCGTCTTTTTCTTCATCCCTCGCTCGCACGAGAAGCCGCCTGCAGCGTCTCTCGGCTTCGAGTTCGAAGACGGACTCCTTCAAGCGTCTCTCCTACCTGTTCTCCCGCTCCAAGCGCAAAGCCCCGCCCACACCCCTCCAGCTGCAATCCCCGCCCTCCTACACCATCTCAGACGGGTTGCTCCGCCCCCTGGGGAGCCACAGCCACTCCGACTTCGGCCTCAGCGACGTGACCCGGAGCGACTCTCACCTGAACGAGGTGGGCCGCTTGGTGGAGAACCCCTCCTTCTCGCCACGGCAGACCAACGGGCTGGACTCCCTCCTGGCGCTGCCCCTCCCTCCCCCGTGCCCCTGTCAATCTCTGCACTGTGCTTCCAACATGTCAGAGTCCAGCTCGCACCTCCTGGACTCCAGCGAGGACGTTTTCCAGGGGGTGGAAGGCGTGGAGGGAGCGGGCGAAGGCAGCGTGGACAGAGGAAGAGGAGGGGGGATGGTGATGGTGATGGGCGGGTGGGTGGGTCCGTGCGAGGATGTCATAGAGGACAGCTGCGAAGTCGTAGAGGACTCCGTCACCACGCAGCTATAGGAGGCGGCGGCGAACCAGACTGTTGGGATTTGCTCGTTTGCAAAGCGGCTTCACGCTCGCCGAGATGGTGTGAGACAGAGAGAGAGGTGCAAGAGGCAGGGATCCGGCGGAATCTGTCGAGAAACTTTGCAGGACGGATTCTGGACTTTTTCTGGAGGGTATCGCTCCCAGCTAGTGGCAATGCCTACGAGGACAGAAGGTATCCTGATGTGGCAGATGTTCATGGGGACAGTTTGACATGTGTTGTTGAGGATGATTCAGGGCATGTGGAACCAGGCAACGTCGACTTTTGTTGTTTTAAAAAAAAAAAATGGAGCTCTGCCTCATATCTCTCCGTAGGCTGCCCCACTGCGAAGCATACGCCCCTTCATCGTGTCATACTGGATTTTCCACTCAAAATATGGTCAACGAGGAAGTAAGAAACATTCTGAGGTAATACTCACTGTGTTTCTCTAACAGGAGCAAGCAAAGGGGTTTTAGATATTTAAAGAGTCAAATTATCACTGCTTATTCTGTATAACTCAATTCAGAATTAAGGCCAATGGGGAAATGTGTTTTGAGCAGCTGAGTTTTATCTTTGTCCTACAGTCCGATCCAGTCAAACTAAGCTGTCCTCAAACATCTGCCAGATTCCGTGCATGCCTCAAGAAGATCAAAGGGTGACATTCAAACAGCAATGGAATTACAAAGAACTGAGGTTCATTTTTGCAAGGAGAACACGGTTAGAAATATTTTTTTGGCTACCACTTGAGATGCTTTCTTTCCCTTTAACCAAAACTATGAATCTGTGACGGAATAACAAATGGATTTAAAGCTTCTGAAAATCACTGGAATTTGAATGGAACTATCCTTTTACAAAGCGGAATGAGTCCTATTTGAAGTGGAAGAAGACAATTATTACCTTAATTCTGCAAATGGAATATTATATCCCCTTTACGTCTGGAATGAAGGATTTAACTCCAGTCGGATGGCTGGGATTGAGAGGAACAGCATGGGACCATTGCTCTTTTGTCTATTGCTTGCACCATCTCTCTCTGCATCAACAAGGGCCAAGGAGCTTTATTTTATCCTAATAATAGTTATAATAGTAATAATAATAATAATAATAATAATAATAAGACACAGACTTCTTATAGTATGAAGTAAAATATTCTGGTTTCTAAAGACTCTTTGCTTTTCTTTGAGTGGCCGACACTACCCTGGCTTCTCATTCTGCTCTTCCTTAACAATTACACTTTACCTGGTGTAAAGAGATATAAGGTCATATTTATTGTGAAGAGGAGAGATAAGTGGATGGAAAGGTTGAAAGGGAAGAGAGAGGGATGAACTCGTACAGAAAAGGAGAAACGGAGAGCGAGAGGAAATGGAAGCTAAGAGACTAGGGATGATTTAAAGATCAGAAGGCCAACACGGGAAGGAACTGAGACTCGGCTGGTTGAATGAGGAGCAGATGGACACGAAAAGAGATTTTTGCCTTTCCATCGATTTTGGAATTCTGTAATAGAGGGAAATCTTTTTCCAGAATTTCATCATGAATTTTTTTCTTCTCTTGAAGTCGCTCTGTGCAGCGACTTCAATGGGTTGGCATGAGCAGAGGCTGTCAAATTTACTCTGGTTATTATACGACTGTCGGCGATGAAGTAGAGAAATTATGCATGTTTGATCAGAAAACCACCGTTACCTGCAACACACACACATGCACACACTCACTCACACAAGACACAATCAGAATATCAGCAGGTGTGATGAGTAGCTCCTGGTCAAATGTTCTGCCCTTTCTCATCTCTCCAGAGTCCTCCCTCTGAGGCACAGTGACATCACCTCATCTCTCGCTCTTTATTTTTGTTCTTGCATCCATTTTGTTCACCGTTGTCCGTGTTTTTTAGTTCTTCCCCTAAAGCACACACACTCGCGCCACCGGCAGATGCCGTGACCTCGCCGCCAGCCGCCAGCCGCCCCAGCGTCACAAAGCCCCGACGTGTCGATGAATCAACGTCCCCAAATGTCACGGCGTAACCATAGAGACCTGTTATCTGCTCTGCATCATGTGATGTCACATCCAGATCGGCAGAGCCAGCGCGCTGCACAGCGCCCTCCTGAAGGCTGGCAGCGGGGCGCCGCAACCCGTTCAGACATGACATCTCGTCTGTTTAGTCCAAACCGACAATCAGCCGCATGTCAGTTTACCACCAACAACGAGGAGAACAATATATACAACTTTATCCAGCACAGGTGGAAATTTCAGAAGGAATTAGCTATTCTATAGTGCAGTTTTTTCTATTTTATTCCCAGGGTACCTGTGGAAAGGAAAAATGCTAACTTTACTAAAGTTTAAAGACTTTTAATTGAGAAATCTGCTTGCACAGGAAGATACAAGTAGCAAACGTATAGGTAAGATATATGCATATTAGCATTTACCTGCCAGACAAATTGTTTCAGCATTCACATCCTTCAACAACCTTCTGATTGTGAGTTTGGTCTGTGGCGGAAGATTTTAATCTTAATCCAGGACTCGGCTCTATGCAATTTCAGATGTCTAGCAGATGAGTTTCCCTCATGATTTATTCTGACACATGGCTCTGTTTTGCTCACCTGGTGGTCAAAAGGAGAGGATCAGGTTCTCTCTACTCTTTTTCACTCATGAGTGAGAAAATTAATTTTCCCTCCAATGTTCAGCTCATTTCTGTCAAGTTTCTCAGTTACATCTTTTCCTAATGGTCAGTTATTTCTGTCAGTAAGTGCTTGTTAGATGCATGAACAAATTGAAATATATCCGCATAAAACTGAATTATACAGTTATAGATATTATATTATACAGGTCACCTAAAAAATTCTCTCACTGAACAGACTTTGTTCTTTAGCTTATTATGTCGAGAATCTCCATTTTTTTTATGAAGGTACTTTTCCATCTCCAGGGATCTAGAGATTTCTTAAGCAGTTTGTTCAGTGTCTTAATGTCAAAATGGTGGTTCAGGTGATCCGTTTATTGCGTTTGTGTTTTTAGATGTCCACAGAGACAGGGAAAAAGAGCATCAAGTGGAGATGATACAAAAGAAAATACTTTTATTTTGTTTTGATATTCAACTTCATCCACATCCATTTTCCTTACCGTGTTGGGGAATTGGAGTTTTTGGGAGATTCATGATTTAACATCAGGATGGAGCCAGAAATACTAAAAAGAAAAAAAAAGATATTGTACTGTGATTTAACAGTGTAGAACAATTTCTAAAATTCATGTCTCATATATATTAAAAAATACCATCAAACCAGTGTTTTTTACTTTCACATATGCCGACGGGGCTCGTTCAATCAGCCTGTCAAATGTTTAAGAAACTATTATGAACCTACAGCTCTAAATTTGTACCCTTCACCATACCAAAAGAAATCCACAACTGACATTTCTCTTCTATTTGCATGTTTCAACAGCAGTGTAGTTCTTCTACTCTTAATTAGTTCATTTTAAAGGGACAAAAATATTTTATGAAGACAATTAATTAGTCCTGTTACATATTCTTTTTCTCCACAAGTTTCTTAAAAGAAGAAAAAAAATTGCCCCAGCTTTTATGTGCCACAATAGGAAAAAATGTACATTAATGCTGAAATAATTCTGTGACATTATGGAAGGCCTCGGGCTTTAGTTAAATCAGTTATTTGTTCAGCAAAGTTTTGAGGACTTTATCATAGAATTGTTTCTTATGTAACTGAGTCTCCCAAAAACAGTTCACAGACTTATTGTAAGGAAAGCTGCTAAAGCTCAGTGGTGAGCCTTAATATCTTCTATCAAAGAACAACTGCCCATGGGCGCACACCTCAAAGCTGCCATTTAATGGGTTGTTGAGTTGGATTATGTCTAAAAAGGTGAACCCAGACGTCCAGCCTCAGAAGGAGATGTGTTTTACTCTGATTTCAGCAAAGCTCTATGTAACAGCAGTCTAAGCTGCTATGGAGACTTGATAAAACATTTTAACCTCTGTAACATCTTTAGAAAAGAGTACAAAAGACTGTACTAACTCCACTGCCATTTACCCTTGAGTTCCACTTTAAGAGGAAAAACCCAGCCAAAGCTGACTTATCGCATATCCACTTTGCAAATATTATCTAATTCCACATACATGAAGTCAAATATTTCTTGGAAAGCAGAAGGTCGGAAGACTAGAAAAAAGGAGGGGGGGTGTAACTGGGATGAGGGTTGCCATGGTGATTGGCCTGTATGTTACCACCCTCTAATGAGGGCTGCTTTGTACTGCAAGGGTTTTACAATCAATCGCCCTATGTAAATCACCGTGACAACAGCTAGCGCACCCCATGGGATGTTTGAGACAACTGGAAAGGGATATTTTTTACGTTTTTTTTCCTGTCTTGAGCCCTGCTGTAAACAAGGCTGGAATCTTCTTTTGAAACATGCCGGATAGATTTGATAAGTTACCATGCTGGAGCGCACACACATCCTGGAAACTAATCATTCCTGCTGATAAATGTTCATCAGCAGTGACTTTCTCATCCCATAAGGTTTTCTTTTGTGTTTTTTTTTTTTTCGCCTGAAATCATGACTAAATCCTGTTAAGCCCCTGATTGATGGACATAGATTAGACCTGTACAACCAGTATGTGTGTTGCTGTACAGGATTCGGGTAACTATTGACTGAGGATGTTTTATTTATATATTTATTGACGGTGGTGTGGTTTGAGGAACTGTCCAGAGAATGCAGAATCCCCGTACCTTCCTAACAAAGATGCAGGGAGAAAACAAAGAGGCAAATTGAGCACTAATAAGGATAATTTGTCAGGGGGGTTTTAGCTAAGAAAGATGGAAACAAGCAGAAGCAAGCAATGAAAAGACACACAATTCATCCCATGTATTACACAGTAAGACTTCTGACCACTGAAAAGCTGCAGTCCTGACTGTAAATTGACTTCTGGCCCACCTTTGTAATGCTGTGTGATCTCTGTTTTGTGAATCACACACACTCAGATCTAATAGTTCTAGCATTAGAAAACCAT